ATCTATGTGAGCCAAGCTCATCCCATCTTAAGACTGATGCAATGCTCTCCCAAAGAACTATTAACCCAAGAATGTGGAACCAGAATGGATCTTTCACTTTAGCCAATAGAAGGCCATTATGTGTGTTTCATTAAAATAAAGGTCAGTAGGGTAATATTTACCCTAAATTCATTTGAACCATAGTGAGATTTATCCTTGCCCTTCAAAATAGCTTTATATTCTTAGCTTAGGTCCATAAAAGTTGACATATTTATTTTGAAAATATATAATAGGCTCATAGCCACATCAAATTTTTTATTTAGCTGAGTGGCAAATCAATTAACCACATTTTGCTGTAGTTGTCTTGTCTAAGACATTCAAGTTAAATTCTGAAACTAATAATTTATGTTTTGGTCCCATATTTTGTGATATGATTTTTACCAGTTGACCCTTTTGTCCACCAATCTTGTGTGCTTTGCACAGTCACTAACAAGCATGAACAGTTCATGGATTTAGTGTGCTCTTTGGCAGAAATGAAAAATTCTAAGATTTTGGGCAAGAACCCAGCAATCATAAAATTCCTTTGCAGCTGTCCAGGAAGAACACCAAGTTCCACCAGCACCCTACTATGCAGATGATGTCCTTCAAAATATTCACAAACATAGTTTTAAATTGATGTGAGTGTAGAGAAATGGTCACACTTCAACTTTGCAGGTAAGACTGTAAACTGGTGCTGTGGATGGTAATTTGAGACTATTATTCAAAAATGGATGTTTAGCCTCTAGGAAATTTTCCGAAGAAAAATAGTGTAAAGATATATGTACAAGAATGTTTCAGAGCATTAATTTCAATGTTGAAATTTGGAAAACTCTAAAATTCAACAATAAAGGATTAATCAAATGAAACATGATACATCCATTCAATGAATTTTCAAGGGGGGAAAATCAGTCTTTTTCATGTAGAAGAGCTTTTAAGGTAGAAAGGACCAGCTTCCTCTTTTCACTTTGTTGAGGCATCCTGTGGGTCACATCCTCCTGGGATAAGATAGCTGCTCTTCCTCTTTCTAAGAAGCTTCAGTGGTGGACAGGTGTTAGCAAAGAGAACCTAGGTTACGGCCAAGGGATAATAGAGATGTAGACTTTCTACACATGCATTGTAGGATTCTACAATCATAGGCACTAAACTGTGAGCAGTAGGATCATAAAGGTTCTTTCGTGTTCCCTGAATTGCCTGAATATTTTACAACATTTTAAGGGGGGGGGGCGGAATCTGTTTTGAAATATAAAAGAAAAAGCTACCAAGCCCACCCAATGCACAACTACCTTGAAGCTAGAGTGATAGTTAATAAATTAAGCACGCTAAACACAAAAACCCATGTTATTAACAAAGCAGTAGCAAGATAATAACATAGCTACAAACCAACATCTGAGTCACTGCGTGCTTCCAAGGAGCGTGGTTTCAGATGCTCATCTAGTATGGATTATGTCATAGCAGTCACTGGCAATTCAAGGCAATTTTGACTTAATCATGTATTGCAGAAAGTATAAATGTTAAAAAAGATTCTGTTCTCTTTCTATTGTTTGCTGCATGCACATGACGGCAAAGAAGGACTGTTTTGATGAGAAAATTGCCATTTCTATAATTTACAGCATGTCAATATCACACAGAGAAAAGCTAAGTGCCAGATGCCTAGAAGAATGCTGCTGAGTGGCCCCCAAGCCAGTTCTAAAGGCCCAGTGGTGTCCCTGACTCACAGGGTTTGAATAATGACTATGCAGCCTTTATTCTCTCTCAATCACTTCTGCTTGTAATTAAAAAGAATACATAGCATGCTTAAGTAGATCTATAATTTAAGAGAAGAAAAAGGTTGTGTGTGTGTGTGTGTGTGTGTGTGTGTGTGTGTGTGTGTTTATTTTAAGGACTTTGCTCTCTCAACCATTAGATTATTTTATGAAGCTGAAATGGGTAAATAAATTATCAAGGACTGGCACCTACCATGTGATGTAGTTCTTTTTTTTCCTTCACCACTTATCCCCCCATACCCTCTTCCTCCTCCACCACCCCCTCTCCCTCACCAGAGCAATCACCACACTGTTTGTTGTCCATGTCAATGATGAAGTGGTTCTTAAACAATGCTTGGGAGCAGAGAATCTTATCTTACTCAGGGGATATAGTGGCCTTAAGCTTATTCATTATCTGCACAACTGAGGACATTACCAAGGCCAAGGCCATGTGAAAGATGGCCTTGAATCCACATCATTCAAGAAGCTGACCGTGGCCTATTTAAGTGAGGAAATTTAGCCTTCAAAATGTCCAAGGGAACTAAGCACGCAAAACAACTTGCAAGAATGACGTGCTCTTTTCTGCCAATAATGCTATCGTAATTTAAAATTTTACCTTTGTGCTTGACGGTTATCATCACTGTGAAAGATTCATAGTCAACAGGATTATTTCAATTTCAATGACTGGTAAAAGGAGCAGTTTTGGCAATTACATTTACTATCAACAGCAGTGCTGCCATCTATGCATGATGTCATTAGGGCTTTCTGTAAATGCCTGAAATGGCACCATGCCTGGAAATAAAAAATAAGACCTTTTAAAACAGTGAGCTTTGTGTTTCCATTGACATAAGACCCAGCTTTAGTCCCAGTGTTTGGGGGGAAGGGTGATATGGGAAGTAGAGAACTCTGGCCTGCTCTGACTGGAGTCACATTTTCTTAAATCATCTTCTGTCTTTGACATATTTGAGAACCAAAGAACGGAACATGCATTCACACTGCAGCCTGGTTCAGCCCTGCAGATGGCACTGGCCATTAGCAAACCCTTTTGTCCCTGTGATCAGCAGGAGCCTTGACCTTGGCTCTTGGGTTGAGGCGACAGAGGTGTGAAGCTGAGACCTGCAATCATCCCATGGAATAACTTGTACCTTTCACATCAAGGCGAGCTCTAACTAAGCTGATGGAATTTGGCCTTTTAAAATGTAACTTGAAGACAAACAAATTTCATGACCTTAAGGTCCTGACTTTCAACCCTGCTCCTTAGAGGTCCAAGATGGGACAAGACTCCCCAGCATGGGAGCGTAGGTATTTATTGTTCCAATCACTACGGCCCTTGCTCAAGTCCACCCAGGAAGCAGCTGTCTTAAAATCCAAGCCTCTTCTTCATTGTTTTCAGTCTATTGGGACAAGTGGTAGAAGCCCACAATGCATTGCCAGGATGGCACAAAGCAGAAGTTCCTAAGCAAGCATTCGTCTAGCAATGGTCTCGTCTAGCAAGCATTCCTGGCTATCCCAGGCCAGAGAACTTCCTTCAGAGGATCCAGGTGAACTCTGCTCTCTTTTGGTCCCTACACTTAAATAAGCAACTAAAGATACAAGGAATGGTAGGTTATATTCTGTTCGCTCAAATAAACTACAAATTCATTCAATTAAGAGCCATGTCCGTATTTCTTTGTATCTCCTAATGCAGTGATGGCGAACCTTTTGAGCTCGGCGTGTCAGCATTTTGAAAAACCCTAACTTAACTCTGGTGCCGTGTCACATATAGAAATTTTTTGATATTTGCAACCATAGTAAAACAAAGATTTATATTTTGATATTTATGTTATATATTTAAATGCCATTTAACAAAGAAAAATCAACCAAAAAAAATGAGTTGGCCTGTCACCTCTAACACACGTGTCATAGGTTCGCCATCACTGTACCTAACACAATTCCTTAAATATACAGGGTGTCCCCCCAAAAAATGTACACACATTTTGAATAATTATTAATTTCAATGGGTTAAATCTGAAAAGAAAGAAACATCAATTGAGTTACCAGCTGTTAGTGTGTATACATTTTTTTGGGACACCCTATATTAAGGACTCAATAAACTCTGCTGACTGACTGATTGACAGGGATGGTTTTCTATTCATTTTCATATCTTCAGCACATAGATGGCTTTTGCTGATTACCAGGATAGGACAGTTTTGAATAAATAAATGAAAAAAGAATGTTACATTAAGACGTTAGTTAATAATGTCTTAGGACAAGTCACTAAGAGAGAATTAGCAGAAAATCTGTTAAAAATCTTCTGCTGAGTCTTAGTGTATAAAATAGGTAAGATCAGTGGTGCCTGATTGAAGGACTGAGGACCCAGGATCCTGCCTCCTCCGTAGCTCTGCCCTCCCCTGCCATGTGGATCCCAGAGAAATCTCTAGGGAAGCTTAGAACTGCAAAGAACTCAGTCTGAAAAACCACCAACTAAACAGTTTGGTAATGTTTATAATTTCATTTATTTTTTATTTTTACCTTTTTTTATTTATTAACAATTCAGTATGTGGATAAAAGACCTTACTTATTTTCTTACTTAAATGCATTGCAAAAAAATGAGATGAATTGGTGGTCCCCAGACTAATTTGCTTTCTTAATTTTTCTGTGGAGGAGAGAATCTTTAAATCCTATCCCATCCATGCTAGATCTCAGTCTTAGGCAGTAGTTTAGGGGCTTAGACCCTATAACTAGAAACAAGCAATTTGCATTGCCTATCACTCCTGGCTGATGAAAAAACTGTATAGATGTCATCATCAGACCCAGGGCCTGGCCTGCAGGGAAAAGATTATTGCTAGAGAAGTGAAAACTGCTCACTCCTTCAGCTGCTCATCACCCATTCGTTTGATAAAACCATCCACCCGTCAGACACTCCCTGGGCATCTATAGAGAGTACCATGAGAACTGGGGTTTTGGCTTGCTCATTCTCCACAGTCTAGAATAATAAGAACAAGGTAGGTACTCAAAAAATATGTGGGGGTCAAAGACCTTATTCTTGAACTCATGACATTGGGCTCTCAGAGTGGGCAAAACTCTCAATTGTCTACTGCAATTTCAGAGATAAACATTACAACCTTATAAGAGCTTCCTCAAAGCTAAGCTCTATTTCCACAGTTACAGCTACAGCTTAATCCTATCCTAGTGTCCCCTTGAGTGAAATAGGAATCAGTCCTACCTGCAAAGTCCCTAAGGCAAAAAAGAACATTACACTTTAAGACATAAGACTAATTTGTTTATTTGGTGTGTTCTGTAAGTGGAGAAGGGAAAATTTGGGGAAATAAATAAATAAATAATCAGACAAACGGAGACTTGAGGGTAAAGAAGGAGCTGAGGGGGAGGAAGCGGAGTCTTTGCATAGTTCTAAATGAACAGGAGGTGGCAGCAGTAGGCAACGCGGGTTCTCAGCAGAAATGCAGCACTTGCAAAAACCAGGGACAGGAGGCTTTGAGAAAGGTCAGAAGGTGACTAACTATTTCTTTGTCATAGAGACCCGTGGTGTGGAACATCCGTCCTCTCTACTGGGGACGGATGCAGCGTCTCACAGGATCTGCCTGGGCATCCCGTACCCCGTCATGCCCGCCTGGGAGGCGCCCTTGTTGCTGCCCATCTGCAGGCCTATCACATTCTGTCCTTGGCGAAGCTGCTCCTCTGAAAATCCTCTCCGATTCTGCTGGGCTTTCCTGGGCAGAGGGAGGGAGATGGAATAATGTCATTCTGACGGTTTTCAAACCCTTCCCAAGATAGGTAGTTAGACAGGCTTTGGTGGGGGCGGTCACCAGATAGAAGAGCAGGCCCTATCCTAGGCTACAGTCTGGCCACGAACTATGGCCCTACCCTGGACTATGACCCTACCCTGAGCTATGGTTCTATCCTAAGCTATAGTTTTACCCTGAGCTATGGCCCTACCCTGAGCAATGGTTCTACCACACGCAAGCCCTGCTGTAATGCATGAGCTCTTACTCCTTGGAAGCCCAGATGTTTTTCTAGAATTTCCAGCCAAGATCAGTAGCTGCCTCTCTGGGGACTTCACTCTTGGATAACTTTTCTGTCACCCTCTTTCTCACAGTTACTTCAAACCCTTATGAAAATTAAAACCAGCTCTTCTTACAAAGCATGTCATTAATCCCATTCCACCCTTCCCTGTAAAGGCCAACGGTTAAAGTTCCATTTTAGAGCTGAAGGACCTAGAAGTTATAAAGGGGAAATTTCTTACTCTAGACAAGAAGTCAGCAAACTTCAGTAAAGGGCCAGATAGTAACTAATTTTGGCTGTGGGGGCCATAGAGACCATGGCAGGTCATTAATAAAACTAGGACTGAAACCAGGATTTCAACTGGCCAATATCTAAGTGATTTCCAGACCAAGTTCTTTTAAAATAACACATACTTGCACCTTTTTATAACCATCAAAAAGAAGAAAAGGGGGTTAGGGAAATGAAGAGTCAGTTAACTGGTACAACATGTTCTTTTCTCTTCATCTCCCACTGAATTATTGGGTTGAGTTTCAGCTCCCTTACTACCCCCAACTCCTGAAAAAAACAAAAAACAAAAAACAAAAAAACTCCTTAGGAAAAGGCCCTTTACTGACATGACTGTATAATTTATTATTCAATTCAGACCAGGCCACTTCTGAGAGTGCTATTAATAAATACACCAGGACAACAAATATTAACCACTGTCTCAGGCAAATAGGACATATTTTCCCTTCATTTAGTAGATAGATAGATAGATAGATAGATAGATAGATAGATATAGAGAGAGAAATAGATATTAGTTTGATTCAGGGCTACTTGGGTCATAATAAAACCAAGTTCAGACATCAAGCCACCTCTGAGAAAAGCAATTTAGTCCTGCTCAATCTCAGAAGGAACAGAACCTGGAAGCAATGGTAGGAAAGGCCTGACCATTTCTGCCCTGGGGGGATGATGGCCTGAACATCAGCATCTTCCCTTGCTCTGGGGGACTCAGTTGTGGGGCCAGGAGTGCTTGTCCCTAGGGACTTTGTGTTGAAATAGCCTCCGGGAACTACAAGGCTTCAGATGCTCCCTTTCATTCCAGTCAACCTCTGCTCCCGCAGGGCCGAGAAAGGCTTTTACCTGTGAAACCAGGATGGCTCTCCCCGGTAGCAGCCATCATCCTTGGTGACTGCAACGCTGCCTAAAGCCATCAGGGTCCTCTGCACAGCTGCCATGTCCTTCCCTGGAAACCAACGAAGAGATTTAAGCCAAGCATGTGTCAGGGCCAAGGAATCTGGAAAGAGGGGGCTGGGCCTTCGGGAAGGGAGTTCTGATAAGGGGCTGCAGGCAATCACATTCAGGGGGTAGGGATAGCAAATACTTCTCAAAGTGGCCTGAAGACAAGCAGAGCCCAACCTCTCAGAAAGAAACAAACAAACACAAAAATCACCGGCTCATTCTTTTCTATATGAGGCATACCAGAGATGCCAGTTTCTAACCCGTGCAGAGTTGCTGTATGAATCAGATACTCCAAACACTTAGCAGCTCAGATCTAGGTATGTCCCCACTCTGAGCAGAGGCCCTGGCCTGGGTGGGTCCTGCTGGCTGTGGTGCAGAGAAGTCCTGTGGGCAGGCTGGTGGTGGATTACGGAAGAGGATTTTCCTCAGGACGGGAAAGAGAAAAGGAGACTGGAAAGAAACTGGTTGGATGGATTAACTGCACCAAACCCCAGGTGGCTTCTCTCTTTCACTTTATCTGGGTTAAAAGGATCTAAAATCACCCATGTGCATCAAATTGAGTATTCACATGGCTGTTTGGGCTGGAGGCCTGGCAAATGAAGAAAAACAAATCAACACAGAAGCACTCAAGTGACACAGATGACAGACCCTTTATTTTGTGCTGCTTGAAGGAGTTAATGGAGACAATAAATAAGTGGTAGGCAGGCGTGCATGAGAGAGAGAGAGAGAGAGAGAGAGAGAGAGAGAGAGAGAGAGAGAGAAAGAGAGAGAGATGGGAGGGGAAGCACTGTTAGCTGAAGAGAGAGAGAGAGAGAGAGAGAGAGAGAAAGAGAGAGAGATGGGAGGGGAAGCACTGTTAGCTGAGATGGCCAGGGACCCTTAACCCACGGAGAAGGCAATTAGACCCTCCAGGTCAGCCTGCTCCTCCCATCTTTTCTCCCTTCCTCCCTTCCAGTTGACTAACATGTCCTGGACTGAGAAAGATGCTGCTGTGTGATTAGCCCTGCAATTTAGAACCAGATCCAAGGTCCATACGAACCAGTTTGGAATGCAAAAGCTAAAGGCACAGGGTTAGAAAGGAAGACAGAATTCAGCCTGCTGGGGAGTGGGGGAAGTTAAAGGACAAAGATTAAAAGGCTCCCTTCAGGCTGAGTGAGCCATCTGTGGGCTCTCCAGCCCAGCTGCTGCCTCGCAGTCACGGGAAAATACAGAGTTCTGGGGGAAAGGCAGACGGGAAGTGAGAATGGAGTACAACTCTAATAAAATAAGCAATTAAGGCCTACAGAGGAAGTCCAGTTCAGGATGTCCATTTATTTAAAGATGAGAGAGACAGCAGATCCTTCTCTCCTCGCCTCTCTCCTCCGTCCCATTAACCAGGGCGGTTTCCTGGATCCTGAGGCCTTGTGGGACTGGTTAATGGATACAGGGATAAAATGCTCTTAATGTAGAGTCCCCAAGACGCAAGGGACAGCTGGGGTGGTGGAGAATGGAGAATCTGGGCAGCAGAGGGAAGGAAGAGAGCACAAGGAACACTGAGATTTAAGAAAGAGGAAAGACAGATGTGGTTATTAGCATGATTTTTCTCTTCTGCAGATAAAAAAACATTTCTGTAATTGTCACTGAATAGCAGGATACTTGGATATTAAAAAAACAAGCAAACAATAGAACCTCAGTGATGCTGTTCTGAAGGACCACTCTGGGAAGAGAGAGGGAGAGGGTCTGTTGTTAAGTAGTGAGTCATTAAAGAGGACCTAGAGAAATGATTAAGCACAGGGAGGCTTACGAAGGTTAGGGTGAATCACACATCTCCACTCTGTACAATGAGTGCACTGGGGATGTTTCCGATGGTTGGTATGTCCAGGTTCTGGGAATTTGTGGAGCTTGACAGCCAGCAACTCAGCCACAGACACTCTCCTGGAGCCATGGGTGTAAAAGCAAGTTCTGTTAACCGTAGACCCAAGCCTCCTTTGTGGAGCTGGCTAAAGTATATACTACATGAACCCAGAAAGGATGGAGGGAACTAAGTTGGGGGTAAAAGGAAGATATCTAGAACTATAAAGACCACCCCACCTTCATCCCAGAAAATGGAAAAGGAAGCAACTACACGATTGGGGCAAAAGAAGCTAGGGAAGGAGGCATTAGATAGGAACAACATAGAAAGGTTTTCCTTAAGAGAGTTTCCAAGACAAAAGATTTGATGTAAATTATAGGCCGAACACTTTTACCATACGCGACATTGACCCCATAGAATTGGTGTTATTCCTCCCAATGTATTGATAGAAAAATGAATCTGGAGATATTAACTAACTTGATTCACCCACCAAGTAAACCAGGGCCTGGCTTTAGCTCTGGTTTCTGAAAATAAAGCATACAAACCGTCCACTAAGCCACCTGACATGGGTCCCCATTGCAGGCGGCTGAGGCAGCTGCCTCGGTGACCAGGGATGAGCCGAAAGTCTGGCAGTGGCTGCTTCAGTGCCAGGCCAGAGCGAACGTACTGGGAGGAGAAAACTGGCCACAGTTCCTGGACCCCACAAGATCAAAGGCACCAGCCGTGAATGGCGGTAAGTCCTGGAGTGTTTTTGTCTGAAATCATTTCTCCAGGTCTCAACTCAAATAAGATTGAAGCAAGAAAAGGCAGTTCAAGTCCATTATTGTCCAGATTCTAAATAACGCCATGAACAGAAATCTGTGTCTGTAACTAGTTCGTGTCTAGCTTGTTTCTTGTCATGTGTGGTTAGGTTTCTGGTAGATGCTCCTGGGAAGATTTCCAGCACTCAGGCCGCACTTCCCTGACCAGCTCTGAAGCCCAGATCAGGGGCTGTGGATGGAAAGGGACCATTGGTGGAGGCTGATCCCTGTCACTGGGGTCAAACGTTTAAATGTCTAATGAAGCTGTATCTGTGAAGTGTGCCAGGTAGAAGGCAAGGAAAGCTAAACTGCTGTGTCACCGCCAAGTGCAACATCTGCCGAGAACACAGCCTGCTTCAGGGCAAGAGCTTCTTGGATGATTTATGGGATGGTGCAGGGGTCTCTTTAAAAATATGAATTTTGAGGTCATTCCCTGGGGAGACTGATTCGACAGGCCTGGAGTGGGGCTTAGCAGTTTATATTTTTAATAAACTTCGTGAGGCAAGTTTGAGGGACTCGGGTTTCACCTGGTGGTTCCCAAATGAGACTGATCATCAGAATTACCTGCGAATCTTAAAAATGCAGATTCTGGGACAATCTCCTGAGGCAATTCCAATGCAGCCAGATGGGATAGGCAAGCTCCAGTTCTTTGGTTTTTAATTTCTTAAAAAATCAAAATGTCTGGCATGTGGTAAATACTAAGTAATATTTGTTAAGCAATAACTCCTTCCTTCAGAGATATCTTCTTCAAAGTCAAATAGTAAAGTCAATAATTAGAAGGGCTCTGCTCCAAGCTGTGAGCCAGCTCAGAGGCCTGGGAGCTTGGAATCTCCTTGCTCCCTGAAAGCTACCCCTAGATACTGTGGCAAGACCATTTGAAAACCACTACTCAAGGCTATTCTCCCAAGCGGGGGGCGGGGAAGAATAGTACCAACTAAGTGCTGGGAATTTTCTAGATGCTGGAGAGCAGAAATGAGACTGAATCCTAATGGTGACCTAAAAATGAGACCTCTGCTCTGGCCAGTGTGCTCAATGGATAGAGCACTGGCCCGAGCACCAAAGGGTCCCAGGTTCATTTCCCAGCCTTGGTCTCTCACATCGATGTTTCTCTTTCTTCCTCTCTCTGCGCTCCCCTCCCTCTCACTCTCTCTTTAAAAAAAAATCATTGGGAAAAAATATTCTCGGGTGAGAATTAACAAAAATAAAAAGAAGAATGAGACCACTGGACAAAGAAGGGTACAGACACATGAAAGCGGAGTGGCCAGGTGTATACTAACAGCTCGGAGTTTTAATCAGGCTACCGCTAGCCCCCTATCACAGGGGAAGCTAATTAGAACTTGAAGTTGTGACAAAAGATGGTGGCCCAGTAGCTTCCCTGTCTCACCAACAAAACTTTTCTGAGTCTCAGATAGAGACTGCCACTTCCACTTGACACAAGAGTGCTCCCTGTTTACTGCATTATCACAAAACAGTGTTTCTCTAAGTGTGGTCTTTCTTCTAGTCCAAACTACCAAATGGTAATCTCTGGGGAGCGAGGCCGAGGTTCTGCATTATAAGGCCGCCCTGGCCCAACCTCAGGGATTCTTAATGCCCAAAAAGTTCGAGGTCCATTACCCTAAAGATATTAGAACAAATATTTTTTTTATTACTTTCATGATAGCTTATGCATGTCTCTGAAAAAAAAAATATAAAGAGAACAGTAAAAAGAAAAAGAAATGGCCAGAGAAATGTCATGTTGGTGGAGAAAGTTGAGTTGGACATTCTACTTTCAATACTAAAACTCAGTGTTATGGTCAAAATTCTGCTCCAAAGCTTCTTCCATATTACATCAGTTTTGACTCATCCTTTGCTACTCCTGGATTACTGCCTTTTTTCATCTTTCTGGGACTTAGAGAGAAAGCAATCGGTGGAAGGAGTCATTTCTTATTTCCCTGAGTAGTAACTTAGGCATAGGCCCCAATTCTCCTTTCAAGGTGAAGGAAAGCTTGCTATAGTCAATGGAGAAACGTCAGACGGGAGGCAGGGCTTGCACTGTGAATTTAATTAATTTTTGTTGCTTGTCTCCCTGGAGAAACTCTCTAGGGCAGTGGTTCCCAGAGCAGCAGAAGCAGAGTCATCTATGAATTGGTAAGAGATGCAAATTCCTAGGCCCTACCCCACACATAATAGTTCAGAAACTCTGGGGCTGGGCCCAGTAATCTGTTTTAACAAGATGATTCTGATGCACGCTGGAGTTTGAGAACCCCTGCTAGAGAAAACAACAGCCAAACACAATTGGGAGCAGCACTTGTAAAAAATGCTGTGAAGGCTGTTCGGATAGAAAAGGAGGCTTCAAACAGGAGGCATCTGTGATGTCTCAAGTCATTACAGACACCTCACAGTATCCCAAAATATCTCTCAAATTGGGTGAAATGTCTCTTGGCTCTGCTGTTGAGGAATGACACATGCAGTGACACCTCCTCAGAGAATATATTTGGACTTTCCAGGCACTCCATCCCCAGATATAAAACCCACCTCCCCCCTAACTGCCAGCCATCCAGGAGGGGGAACAGGGAGGCATGACAAACCCAAGTGTCTGGTTCATCGTCAGTAAAATCACTGAGAAGAGTAATCAGATTTGATTGATCTTTGAGTCTTGCCTGCTCTGGCATTCTAGAATTCTACATGTGTAATGTTCACCACATAGTTATGCAAAGGTTAGTCGTCAAGGGACTCCGAGTAGGGGAAAGAAGCCAGCATTGTGCTAGGCATTGTACACATTTAATCCTTACAGGAGCCCTCTGAGGAAGGCGCTAGACCTGTTTATAGAGAAGGGAACTGAGGCTCTGAGAAGCTAAGCAATTCAAACAAGGTCACACAACTAGGATGTAGTTAAAGGGTTTCGGCCCATCTACCTGGCTCCCAGAGTCATGCTCTTTCCACTGTGCTGACATCTTCTGGGTCTGAAATTGGGGAAAGACATCAAGAGGATAATGACCAGGCCCTGGCTGGTTTGGCTCAGTGGATAGAACATCAGCCTGTGGACTGAAGGGTCCTGTGTTTGATTCCGGTCAAGGGCACATCCCCGGGTTGCCGGCTCAATCGCCATTAGGGGGCGTGCAGGAGGCAGCCACTCAATGATTCTCTCTCATCATTGATGTTTCTATCTCTTTCTCCCTCTCCCTTCCTCTTTAAAATCAATAAAAATATTTTTTTAAAAAAAGGAGGGTAATGGCCAGGAGGTGGGAAAAAGTGTAAGGTGACCTGCAAAGCCCGCCCCTCCCTAATGAGGAATGGCAGACAAATGAGGGCAAAGGTCATCCAGGTAACCCTACCAGCTTCTGTGTGAAGCCATTAATGGAATCCATTTGTTACAAGACAAAATTTGTGCCTGTCCAGCCTTGCTCCTGTGCTCTCATTTTGTATTAGTCTTAAAAAAAAAAAAAGGCCAGGCCAATCACAACAGTAATTTTTACATTTATTATGCTCTGTTATTGCCAGGCACTATGCTAAGCACTGCTCACGCATTATCTCACTTACTCCCCATGTCAACCCTGTGAAATAGATATGATTATTCCCATTTACAGCTGAGGAAATAGAAGCTTAGAAAAGTTAATTGATATGAGATGGAGCAGAGCTTTGAACCACAGTCTAATTTCTGACTCACTGGACTACCTCCCAGGATAAGTGTTCTTTGGGTCTGTCTGACCAGCATACTCACTAACTCTCACATGTTCTCTCTCTTTTACACACACACACACACACACACACACACACACACACACACTTGCTCATCCCTTTCTCTCCTTCCCCCTTTCCCTCTGAAGATGCTGAAATCTAACCTCCAGTTCACTCTCCTCTGAGCACAGACAGCTGAGTCAGCCCCACCCCTGCTCTACCCCTACCCTTTCCAGTGGCCCTACCTGAAAGTCACCAACCAGCCACTCAGCTTCTCTCATTGAAGAGAGACTTGCCCAGTCCCCTCCCATGCTCTAAGTGCCCTTCCTCCTTCGGCATCACCAGCTCCCTCCCAGGGAACTTTACTAGTTTTGTCTATAACATCCCCGTGAGTGGGTTGTTTTCTGGACCATTCAGCCCTGGGTTCCTTTTTGAAGTCCAGAACCTTTCATTCTGGTGTCCCCATTCCATTCCAAACATTTCACGTTGTATCTAAAAGGGTTTTCAGGATAGTGGGTACATCTGGAGCCTCTGCCTGTCTAGATAACTGAAGCCTAAGTAGAAGGCATTTGTCAAGTCTGGGCTCCAGGCTCTATATGTCTGCAACATAATAGCAGCACAGAGTCACTGGGCAGCTATGGGCAGGATGAGCCCTCCTTGGAGAGATGCCGGGCAGAGGGGAAGGGGAGCTGAGAGGTGTGGAGCATAACATGCATGCAGAGGAGGAAGAGAAGGATTCAGGCAAGGAAGGCTGGACCTGCAAGAGCCAGGGCCACGTGGGCAGAATCAGGAGTGAATGTGAGTAAACTGAAAACCACAGTCAGGGTGTAGAATAGCAGGGGGGATGTGGCACTAAGCTAAGCAAATGGCTAGTCCAATAGCTCTGTATACAGACACGTACACGCTCATACACACATAGACACGCTAACCGTGCCTCACAGCATCTCTCTAAGGTCTGTATACTCATCCCCAAACTCAAGAATGACAAGTAGCTCTTACAGAAAGGACCCAGCCTCAGTTTCCCAGTCCATGTGCAATCTGTGGGCTCACTGCTGGGTTTTCTAGGGCCACTGCCCCTCCCCCTTTCTCTGCTCAAAGAGCAACCCACCTTCCCACCTCTTGCTCCATTACATAGAAACCAGCTCTGGCCTGAGCTTTAGACAGTGATCTTGGGGGATGTCAAGTATCTCCTCTAAGGTTTAGAATGAGTCTCCCTGAAATTCAGTTCTCAGTTACCCCTCCATGGAGAGGGCCACCACACCCTGGGGGCTCTAGAGGTCATCTGGACACTCCTACACACTGCTTTCCTGTGGCCAGCTCTCCCTACCTCCTGCATGGCCTTACCTGTAGCAGGCCAGCCACAGCACCTGGGGAGTGGGTTTCCTCCCTTAATTCCTTGAAAGCTCCATCCTTCTTCTGCCTGGAGTTGAGACCCCTCAGTGTCTGCCTTGTTTGCTTTTTCTAGGAGCATTAACCTGTCCAGGAGTCCACCTGTCCACTACCCTATCTCATGCCTCTCAACCTCCCTTTCCCTAAGAGGTATCTAACACACAGGGCTGGGGAGGTGGTGTAGATCAATACCTGCTCTCACTCCCCCATCACTGTCAGCACCTCCTGGGTGCAAAAGTTCATCTGTAGAGTCTTTGGAAAAGGGGGAAAGGTGAGCAAAGCATCCTCAGTAATGGAAAGTCAGAAAAGCACCCTAGGGAGACACACCTCTCACACACCTTCCAGGTTCTTCATCCTCCTACATTTCCTGTACTGGGTGGGGGGAGCTCATGGGGCCCCTTCCATTTACACAAACCCCCTAGTTAGTGCAGGGGCTCTAGCCTTTTGTCCCACACAGCTCTGACTCATCCTCCTCCTTTTCAGCCTCATCCATCATCATTATGATTCAACAGCTCACTCATAGATTAGGTGAAGGCAACAGCCTACTGGCCGAAGCGTGGCATGGCAGACTAGTTAAGGCCTTATTGTTTGGCATCAGAAAGATTGAGTTTGAGTCCTGAGCTCTGCTAATTACCAGCCAGCCAAATGATGAACACATGCAATCATGGACAAGCTCCAGTTTTGTCATTTATGAAATGGGCAAATTAATAACTTTTACTTCATAGAACTGTAGGAGAATTGATTGGCAGTATGTAGTAAAGTACTTGAACCTTGCCTAGTGCATGGGAAAAATATCAATAAGCAGTAGCTATCTTCATTAGCTGGGGAAACTCATCATAGTTTTGATCTAAAAAGAAAGTATCAACTGTGGCATTCCACAGGGATCTGGAGGCACATGCCCATGAAGTCAATGGCCTGGCCTGAATGTCTGGATACCCAATTTTCCAAGTAATGGCAAACACAAGGAAAACTGGCAGGCATCTTAGGATTTTAACTACTTGTCTGTGAGTGAAACAGGAAATGCCAGCTCTCTGCCTAACATAGAGGAGGGTGAGAGGATTAAGGAGGCAACAGTTTCTTTATAATTTGTTTAGAAGAATAATGTTCTGCTAGAAATATATTTCAACCATCATCTGACTGTCCCTTAAAATCTCATTGTCTATTGATCACAGGAAAGTTACCCCATTCTCACCGCCAGCAGAACCATTTGGTCGATGCCATGAGCATCCTATTGGTTGGGTCACTGATGACAGCCAGTGACAATGAGCAGGACAGAGCAGAGTCAACCTGGAAACCCCGGGCAGGTCTAGTGTGAACAGTTGCATGGATGGGCGTCTACATTTGGTCTCAGGGGGACACAGCACTATGACCATAGGTCCCAAATTCTCTGGCAGTGTCTCCACTCCCCTCATTGCCCCCAATAATGGTGGATTGTTATATATGTCCCGAAATGTGATATGATTTTTATGCCTCTTAAGGTTTCTTAAGTCAATTCGCAAATGTGAAAGAAGAAACCATTTATCAGACTCTCTGAGAGAATACATATCTGGAAGGTATAGTCACCAAGCTCCTAGTTTAATAAACGGTTGAGGTGCTATTTATTTCTGAGACTGAATGACAAAATTGCACCAGGTGGCTTTATCAGAGTCCCACTGCTGGTGAGTCAGAACACACCACACACACACACACACACACACACACACACACACACACCCCACTTTCTCCCAGTAGCTTTTTGTTCAGAAAGGGTATGATGTGGGAGGGATAGCAGGAATGAATAGCACCCATATAATGATTTTAGCTTCCTCTCTGTTTATTCCTTAGTGTTTTGAGGTCCCTGCTGTGAAATGGGGTGTGCATTTCCTTCAAGGAGGGTACCCCTTTCAATGGAACATCATAAAGGGGAGACTAACAACACCCCTGGGTGACAGCTGGTAACACACCCCCTCTTCACACACACAAACACATTCACACACACACACACACACACACAGGCACAGGGGGAAGAACACTGAGCAGATTTCACAAAGAGATGGGCAAGGGGAGGGGGAGGGGAGAACAATCCCCAAAGGCATAGGGCTGTTTACCTTCCCATAAATCCACTGTTTGAAAAATGTCAGTGGTCCTGACGCCGTAGGTCTCTGCAGCTTTTAGGAACTGGGAGATCTGCTCCATCTGCTTAAAAGCCATCTTGGACTCTGAGATCTTGGCAATGGGCTCTTGTCCAGGTGGGTATAAACTGTTTATCAGCTTGCACAGGACCTGAAGGGGAAAAGGCAGGGACACTATCAATTTTCCCTTCAATATTTACCCACCACTAATGCAAAGTGAACCCTGGCCCCCACCGGACACAGCTGAGAGGTTTGACACAGCCAAGTCTTGGGCCCCAGGAAGGCATGAGGTCTAGGCTGTGTGGCCAAGCTCCCATACCAAACCCCAAAGACCCAGGCAACCCCATCCCAGGGCTGCTGCTGACCTCAGCAAGCCCAGTAGCCCAGGAATCCTTCCATCCTTGCTCCTCCCTTCCTTTTTCCGGGTGAGGGTAAGAATGTTTACAGATAGGAAATGATGTGCAGGGACGAGGCCATGATTTCAATGCAGGGATGAGCTAGTGGTGGCACCCAGGGTGGTCAGATGATAGCATCTAAGATTATTTCTGCTATCAAAAGGCAGATCCGAATCAGCCTTCAGTAACTCATCCCATATATGCTAATGATGTATACACAAACGGAACAGGGTACCCTCCTCCCAGGTACCTATCACCCAAGTGCTGGGCAGCCCAACAGAAGCCTGGGATAACAGTTATGTAACAACAGTCAGTCACACCCTGACGGGAAACGATGGGCTTGTTTGAATCAGCAGAGCCTGCGGTCCCCGATTCCCCAAACACAGGAGCATCTGGTCAGAAAAGCAGTTATCAAATAAGCATTCCCTTCAGTTCCCTGAGAGCCCCTCCATTCACCAGACAGACATGGAGCACCCCTGGGGGGCATGGCTCTGGAAGGAAGGTGGTGAGTCTCCCCGCTCCTTTGTTTTACTATGTAACCAACCATTCCCCTGGGGAAGGGATGGCCCCAGATGAGCTGATGCACCAAAAAGGCTGCAGCGATCTCAAGGAAATATTTACCTCTATTCTCACTGGAAGTGCAAAAGGGCTTCGGATTTGCCAACAGCTCAGAAGGCAGCTGCTGTGTTGGATGGGTGGAGAATCCCCTGAGCTAGCTGGGGAAGGGGGTGGGGGGGCAGATCTTCCAACCCCGAGTAAAAGTCAAGGCATTTCCATGCCCTCCCAGGGGACCCCAAGCGGGCAGCAGCTGCTCCCCCCGCAGCCTCACCTGAAAAGAGAAGGAAGGCCCCGGAGGCTGCCCTGCCCACCGATCCCGCCGTCCTTACCGTCCCGTCCATCAACCACTGCTGAAAATGGGCCCTGCCGGGGGGCGGGTGCTCGATGTCCTCGGCGCACTGCAGGATGATCCAGTCCACCAGCTTGTTCTCCAGGTCCGCGTCGTACTTCTGCTCGATCTTCTCCTGCACCTCTCGGCTTAAGCCGTAGCTCGGGCCCCGGTTAGCCATCGCTGCAAAGAAGAGAGGACACGCGCGGCATCCACACAATAGCGCGGGGCTGGAGGTGGCCGGGCCGCCTGGCCCCGCGGCAGCACAGCGGGCAGAAAACCGGGCGTGGTTTAAATCAAGGAGCCAATGAAGCCACGGGGATTTCACCTACAAACAAGAAAGAAAAGCGCAGCCACGCGCCAGCGACTCTAGAATAAAGCCCCTGCGGGTCCGGGGGGAGGGAGGCGCTGGAACCCGCCTCTCGGTCCCGCCTATCAGCCCGAGGAGATGATGCGCGGGGACTCACATTCACAGGCAGCAAGGGAGCTGGGTGGTCGTTTCTCACTCCTTCCAGTAGCACTTTGCAGTGGCAGGGACCCTGAGATGGGACGGAGCAGGTGATTAACAGGCAGAGAGGACGGCCGCCTTGACAGTCAGCTGCCTGTGCTGCATGGCTTTTGCTAGAATGGTGCACTGATTCGATTTTCTCCAGGCTGAGGGAGGTCACACCAGGGCCGTTGCTAAGAGCCCTCCAAAAAGCCAGCCCTCTCCTGTTGTCAGTCAAGCCCGCCGCCTCCCTCCCGCTGAGAGCTTCTTTCTCAGCTGCAGGATTCTTGCCCCTCCTCTGGGGGACGCGGCCCCTCGGATCCCAGGCCAGCCCACAGCTGCACAGGGGATGGGGCCTGGGAGAGGGTCCATGCAGTCAGCTGTCCATCTGTCAGGGGTTGCCAAACCACTCCCCCCTGCCTGAGGGAACAGTTGTCTGGCAGGATGGGACAGGAGGGGCTGAGAGCTGCAGCCATTAACTGGCTCTGCTGCCAGCCCGATTTCATCCAGAAACTTCCATCCTGTGGGAAACTGTTGTGCCTCAGGTTGACTTATTCAAGGACTGCAGCTTTTTAATGCTGTTTTTACTAGAAAGACACCGAGAGCATGTTTTATAAATTAAAAAGAGCTCAATATGCTAAGAACTCTTGGAATAAAAGATTTGGATAGGGTGTAAAGATTTTATTTTCATTAAGGAACAGTAGAGGACAACTAATGTATTATCAGTGGTAACTATGTTTGCAAACAAGACTTCAGAAGAAATCATCAGACTTATGTTGACCTGAAACTTTTTTTATAACTGTTAAAGGGTTTGGCAGTTTATCTTCCTAGTCTGGGAGTAAAGATTGAGTCTTACTGGTTTTGTCTAAGTCTCTGGGTACTTATTGTGAGAGAAACAGCCAAAAATTGTTCTCTGGCCAAAACCGGTTTGGCTCAGTGGATAGAGCGTCGGCCTGCGGACTGAAAGGTCCCAGGTTCGATTCTGGTCAAGGGCATGTACCTGGGTTGCGGGCACATCCCTAGTAGGAGATGTGCAGGAGGCAGCTGATCGATGTTTCTCTCTTATCGATGTTTCTAACTCTCTATCTCTCTCCCTTCCTCTCTGTAAAAAATCAATAAAATATATTTTTTTAAAAATTGTCCTCTGGTTTATTCAACAAACAGTTTTTGAGCACTTAACTGTTTCAAATACTGTGCTCGAGAGAAATAGAGTATAATTCTTGCCTCAGGAACGATTGATCATTTGACTCAGGCACATTAGATAAAACAATTCTAGTACATGGGGTGGTGATCTTTGTTTCTGTGGGAAATTGATTAGAAGCTGTGCAGGAAATGACTCCTCAAATAATACATGTATTGCAAAAAAATCTACTGCTGGCTGGAGCCTGGACTAGTGAAAATTTAATTACTTAGTACATAAGTGGTGGGTGTGCCTGAGAAAAGACTTAGTGGTCAGTAGTTGAAGGCTTAGGGAAGAGAATTCTGAAAAACTAAGGGTTGTGGGAGATTCAGGAGTTTTGAGGAGAGCAGCCAGTTTAAAAAACAGCATGAGAAGGGCTGACTAATGAAGGTCTTGATGCTGCGTGGAATCCTCAGTTGGAGAAGTTCTACAGACAACAGAACTCTCTCCAGAGACTTCGAGCTTAGGGAAAGGGAGGGAAAACTGTCAGCAGAGTACTGAGTTGCATCGTGGGTGGCAGCAATAAGGGCAATTGCAATCTCAGACTAAGGAAAGGGAGGCCCAGGGAGAAGGTATGTCACTTTCTCTGCAGCTGGAATTACTTTAAGGAAGATGTTGGTTTGTTAATAAAGATAGAAACAATTCTGAAGGAGGTGCATTTGCCCCCATTTTATATTTTTTCAGGCTATGCTTTGCAGATCTTTTAAACCCAAAGATTTCTTCCCATTGTAACAAAATAACTGGGTGCTTTAAGTGAATGCTTGAGCTCAAGGTTCTGGAGAGGATATGGCGCCAGCAAGGTATAGGTTAGATGTGTCCAGAAATTCACAGGAAGTTATTACAGAAAAGAAGCTTGATTCCCTGGAGGAGTGACAGTGGAAATTGGTTCAACCCTGTATTTACTGAGTGCCTACTAGTATAGTTAATTTTTCAACATAGTTTTTAGGGCCCATGTATTGAGATTTAAAAAAATGAATGAGACATGGCAACATGGTTTAGTAGCCAAGCTAAACTTGTAAACAATATGTGCCAGACAGGTATCATGCTAAAACTATACACAAGATACAAAGGTACAATTATACCTAGAAGAAGAGGGTAGGGGATTATGGAAAAGGCTTATAAGTGAAATGACTTTAAGTCTTAAAAGATAAGTATGTGTTTGCCTGATGAATGGGGCAAGGTATTTGCTAGGTGGATGGGTGAAGGCAAGGGGGGAAATGTTAGTGGCAAAAGCAGCTTAATTAAGAAGGTGAAAATGTTCTAATATCCACAAAGCAAAGGGTTAAAGGGAAGAGACACACAGTAAGAAAAATTAGTCTGGCATGTCAGGCAGGCTCCAGATCATGCAATAGTGTGGTTGTAAATGCCCATGGTTAAATTTCTAGGAATTTTGAGGGCCAATGTTTAAATTCAGCCATTATAAACAATTAAATTATATAAACTTACACTTAAACAAATTATATTACAAACCAAAGTCAAATACTCAAAACGGATTACAAAGTTATTTTGCTATGTTTTAATATTACCTTTGTTTTTGAGGATATTTATATTTATTGTCTCTATATAGTTGTCCATGAAAGAATGTTCAGCCTAAGAAAAAGAGTTTAGTTGAGCCAAACTGATGACAATGACCAGGAAGCAAAATCTCAACAGACTGAGAAAAACCCTCTGGAGAATGGCAGTTTTACAGCTTATTTTATACATTAGTGGACAGATTCGTGCACATTGAAAGGAAATTAATTAGAACATTTTAATATCGCTATTCGCCCTTTCTCTATAATAGAAGTGTCAACCAAATTCATGATCGACAATGACAGTTCTTGCACCAGCAAGAACTTTATATGTATCGTGCATGCAC